TTCCAAACTAAACTGTGGTTGTTACTTCTCAGAGAGCTAAATGCAGTTCATATTTAAATATGCAAAGAAAACATTTATCATCAGCTTGGACAAGTTTTTGCAAGAAAATTATAATTACAGCGCTGAATATCCCAGCAATGCTGTAATGCTACCACTATGCCATTTTCAAACTTGAGTTACACCTTAGCTATAGTAATTCCACATATAAGAAAGAACAAACTCAATTTCACCTCTCATCAAACCAAATATAAAATTAAGTTCCTAGAAGAGAAACAACTTGATTCATTTTGAATTTGAAATTATGATAACAAAAGTCAGAAATTCCATGGAAGCTAGTCATAGAAAAGCTCCATACAGTAAAGAATCCAGTGCTTACCAGTAAGAAAGCTTTTCTTTAGCAAGGTTCCCATAAAACTTACTCAAATTGCATTACGCAGGAAGTTACAAAAAGAAAGAAATTTAGTCCCTATTCACTAAAGCGTTATCTTAGTATGGAATCATTAAAATTAAAATATGTTCCACTTCAAGGTTGTTTTTATTTCACTGACATAAACTAGTGGGAAAAAAAAAATCAGTTTAGAAAGAAGATCTATGAATGTCTCTTATGTCTATGACCCAGATGGACAAATTTAAAAGAATCAAGCATCATGAATCAAAAGTGTGCTTTGAATTAGACATCAAGCATGAAGACAGACATTAACAGGAGATTGCCTTGTTACGACTCATTGTTTATCTGCTCTGCCAAAATTCAGTGCAGCTTTTATAACAAGTTATCAAAAAACAACTCATTAATTATTTGTAAGAAGAGTCTAATGATGTATGAGAACAGGAAGTTTGAACCACTAGAATCAAAGAAAAAAAAAGAATTCAACTGAACGATAATGTTTCTTTTATTGTACCTTTCATTTGATGAAAGAACATGTCTATCTGTTGAAGTAAGAGTTAGCCAAGGAAATGTAGAAAACTTCAGGCATTTTACTGTTTAAAAAAAAAAAAAAGGCAAATATTTGGAATATACTTTATAAGGCTATTACACGTGGCATTTCTAGATCTTCTGAAAAGCATTAACATTTTAAACTATATTAAAATGTTATAGCATTACTGTAGCAGAATTTATTTATTTTACTATGGTTATGTAAGCTATTCAGTAGAAAAAAAGTCAGAAAGATTCATTATGATAAATACCATTTTATAAGCAGTATAGTTGAAGTTTCTGCGATACTAGAATTCATAGAATAACAACATGAAAAAGAACAACCATTGTATCTGTAATGAAATCCAATCTAAATTACACCTCTAAAAACTTTAACACATTTGTATTTCATAATTACACACACCAATTGTTCTTTTGGGAGAGATTTCTAACTGCTGCGTGTGACTTCCATCTTGACAAAAGTATCCAGTGAATAATTCCTCTTGAGGTAGAGCTAAAATAAATAAAAGGTAAGTTTTAAAATGTACACTAAAAAAAAAAGAAATGCAAAACTGTCTTTAAAGTGTTTGAACTGCTTCCCTTTAGCCCTTCAGTTTTAACTTACTAATGAAACTGATTTAATATAGTCTCAGATGGTCAAGAATCCAGGGTGAAAATAACTGTGTTTTTATAATCACATTCTGCAATTATGTTTTTTCCATTTCCCCATACTGCCTTACAAACTGTTCCTTGTGCTGAAGATTCCAATAAAGTAGTGGCTACAAGCTGCTAAGCTACTTTCAGGTTAATACTCTTTCTAACAGAATCCACTTATTATACACTTCATTAAATTACAAAAATATATTTGCCTATTATGCCTGAAAAAAAAAAGAAAAACAGCTTTTTATAACCTAGCTTTTCGTTTACTTTTTTTCATCTTAAATAAGCGACACCTGATTTACCTGACTGATCTACCAAAGGCTGAGGCTGAGTTTGATTACACGCTGACAGATAACTAGAAGGAATTCCAGAAGGAAGCAAAAACAGCCCATCCACAATCCCATCAATTATGGCCTGTAAGTTTGGTTCCACGTTGGGGCGAAGCTGCGAGAAAAATTCCACTGCACCAATTCCAATCATTTGCTGGGCAGCAGATGGATGCTACATTAGGGGGGAAAAAAACAAACAAACAAACAAACAAAAAAAAAAAAGAGAAGTTATCTAGAAGAGATTCACAGTTTCTAAATCAAAGGTTGGGAAAAAAAAAAAAAAAAGAGGCATTATTGATATTGGAAGCCAAATCTGACTTCAGTATTCTGTAAAACTGTTCATCCCTATCAAAGGTAGAATTACTTTCTTTCCTCCTCTGCATACTTGTTGTTTATTATTAAAAATTAAAAAATGTAATAATTTGAGATCTCTGATATTTCTGCAAAATGTTCTCAACTATTCTAAAATATATTTTATCATCGTTTCAATCTTTCTATTTCAGGAACACAGCAAATGCCTACCTGCAAATCGTGCCCATAGAGGACGTCAAACACTAAGTTATCACACACACAGTCAACTGCTATAACTGTTTTCCCTTCCATTTACACAGTAAAACCTTATTAAAAGTGTTGCAAAATAGAATATTCCCCAACTTTGCTTAGATTTAGCATTCTAAAGGTATATGCTTTAGATAAAAGTAGATGTTTCACATCATACCTTAATCAAATTATTCATGAAATTTAGAATTTCCTCCTTCATTGGTACCACTGGAAAATTGAACCACTCCAAAAGATTAAGGAAAAGCAGCTTTTCATGGACGAGATCAGCATATGAAATCAAGTTATGATCTAGTTTAAACAGTATATTCTTCAGAGATCGCTCTCTTATCTCTGCCAGCTCATGACCTGTTCCCAAAAAGGCATATATATAAAAAACAATTATCTCAGGTAACTGGTTTCTTATTTAGACAAAAAGAATACTGTCACAGACTTGTGAAAAGCTCACACTTGTGAACGTTGTGCTTACTAGGAATACAATGATGATTGTGTTCCTCAGCACTAAGCTAGTTGAGCATAAAAGGAAGAAAACATTTACAGAATACAGATATAAAAAGGTTACAAATACAAAACAAGAGGACCTCACAAGAGGACACCACACTGGAAGGACTCCAGCACCTTCCAGGGAATCACCACCGGATACTTGTCACGCACTGTCCCTCGCAGATCTGACATAGGCTACAGCAAAAAAAGTAGAGCCGGGCGAGTTGGACCCCCCCTACCGCGCCCCGGAGCAGGGGAGTCATTCCCCCTTCCCGTGTA